TAATTTTGACAACCACCCAGGTGGGAAGGCAGGGAGGTACCAGTCCGCCAGGCCACTTGCAACTGACGGCCGGTCTCCTAATTCTTCACGGTTCAGGTATCAAGACTGTGATGCTTGCGTGCTTCGTTTTCATAGTCCTAGATGTTATTGGGCTTCATGCATTTCTGGAAGATCGGAAGATCTCTTCAAGTTCCCACGGCCAATGCAAAGGCTCATGAATGCCATTGTTTCGGCATGTGTGTATCATCAAGGGCCACACTTCCAAGGTTTGCCTGTATCCTACTCAATGCTGCATCAAGACGGGCAGGGAATGTCCGACGACGCTGCCAGCCTCAACATCTTACTCCCAAATGCGACGATTCGAGGATATACGATATGTAGATCATGAGTTTCCGCGCAGATGATGCAGTGGGATGGATGGATAGCTCTAGGTCGGTAGATAGAACTTGGATCTTCCCTTACCTCACAGACCGTCATGCATCCGGGCCAGTCCTGGGGACGAAGCAGTTTCAATCGAAAACGCCAAGCCGAAGCCTGAACGCACCCTTTTTTGAACCCAGGCTAGGGTTTAGGGTTTAGGGTTTAGGGTTCCTGAATGCACCCCAAACCCGCACCCCTCAACCCTTAAACTTCTGCAAAGGCTGGAGGAAACAATTCGCCGGCCTTGTCTAAGACCGCCGGTGGGGCACCAGCCTCGCAAGTGGGGAGCTTGGCATTTGACAATAGTCTACTTGGAGGTTCATGGGTAGTTATAAGTGGGGTTAAAAGTCCCCTAATATGGGTTATAATTATAGTTGCCCTACTTATAACCTTACTTATAACTACCCATGAACCTCCAAGTATGGCATCCCTATCCCTGATTTCCTCGCCGCTCACATGTGAACATCTCCAGGCGAGAAACTTCACCGTGCCAGTCGACAGGTGCAGCGCCGGCAATATCTGCCATTTAACCATAGAATACCCAGCTACTGGTATCTGGGCACCCCATGCACAAACAAGGGTGCACGTGCCCTGCAGCATGTGCATGTGCAGCTTTACAGGCAGACATACATGCGTATGTGCATACGTACATACAGACATAGAGACAGACACACATACATGCATACATACATACATGCATACGCCCACACACACGCGCAGAGACCAGCATAAAATCATACATTACATTACATTACATTACATTACATTAATTACATTACATTACATTACATTACATTACATTACATTACATTACATTACATTACATTACATTACATTACATTACATTACATACACAAACACTTGCTTACTTACTTATTTACCTACTTATTTACTTACTTAATTGTTTACTTCTTCTTCACGTGTATGTATATATATATATATATAAACACTTACTTACTTACTTGCTTGCTTACCTTTACTTGCTTACTTGCCTACTTGTTTACTTACTTACCTACTTACGTACTTGCTTGCTTGCTTGCTTGCTTACTTACTTACTCAATTACG